TCTGTGTCCTGTTTCCTGTGTCCACATATGTCCACATAAAATGTCCACAGCTTGCCTCTATTCCAGCTCCCAGCACATCTGAGTCTGGTATTAATTGTTTGACAGCTGATCATTATCTGGCTCAGGTATGTTAGGAGTGCTGCTGGGGTTCAGACCTCTGTATTACTCTGCTGGTAAGTTTTTCTTTTTAGTCCATATGAATTTGTGTTAAAATTGTTTATCATTTATAATTGTTCATAGTATTACGTTGCTAATAACTTTAGCATAACTTATATACGGAATAACAGTAGACCTTAAAATCAGATTCATCGGTCGGAACTGTGTATTTATTGTGGTATATTTCAAATTTCTACACAAAGTCAGTTAACATGTTTTTCCTTGTCTGTAGAACATATCAAGTGTGATGACACCATTGTACTATGCATATACACAGCTGTAAACGGTGGGGGATCTATTGATTGATAAAAAGCAAGCTTATCTTTTTCAGACGACAGTAACCATTTCAGAATGGCAGTTGTTTGTATTTGTTTTCCTATAATATTGAAAAAAAACAGTTCTTTTCAGTAGTCGTATTTCCCTAGGTTTACATTTTTATTTTCTGAGGCATAGTTTAGAGTTTAGTTTATTATTATTTTTATCAATAATTATTATTTAATTTTGTGCCTTTAGACTTGTGAGTGTAGAATGTCATTTTCAAAAAAAGTTAACAGGAAATAAACAATAAACAACTGCAATCTATATTGTTTGAAAGCTATGTGGGTGCTTTTTTATGGGCTATGCTTTGGATTGCAGAATAAATTATTTGAATGTAGAAGTACTTTAAATTTTTAACAGATTAACAAGGAAGAAAACTGCAACATAGTGATTTTCCATACCCCTTTAAATTACATTACTGTAATTTATGTGTATTATTATTATTATTATTATTATTATTATTCTAAGTTGATAAAATGACAATTTCATTAAAAAATAAAATGACTATAAAATAGTAATTGTAAAAAAAAGTTTTCATTAAGGGTTAATTACTATAAAAATGGTATTTAAAAGCACTGAATTATTTTTACATTTTGTAGCAACACTGTATTAAAAAATAGTTGCATAAGAGTCTTCCCTCATACTACCGCCGAATCCATAAGCTTAAAATTTAAAAATAAATATATAATATAGCAACATGTGTGAGTCACTTACTGTAAACAGCTCGTAAAGGGAAGAACGACGGAGAGCGCTTGCGCTTCAAAACCGAGCATCCAAGAGGCTCTAATCCGTGCTCTAATTGGTCTGAAAATCCCGCCAGTCATTTGCTTGTCCTCCCATGGATCTTTTTTTCCCGGTTTGCACATCTCTGCTGTACTGAATTAACTGTGCTGTTTTGTTTTTGTTTGTTTGTTTGTTTGTTTTTAATCTAGACACAGAGCAGAAAACTGCAAACCCCTGAAATACATAACACAGCTGTACAGGATTATTATACAAAGCATCACTGAAGAGGCCATGTCTTAATATTAAAGTCAAAGTATGAAGTTGGACATTTAAACTAAAATCTATTCATAATGTAAATTTACGTGGTGAAACAATATTTGTCTATATACTGCTACTCAAATACATTTGTTTATTATTGTTTGTGTTTTCCAAATACCTGGAAATAATCATTTTGAAAGTTAAACACAGTATATAAAAAGTTTGTTCTCTTTTTCTGTTGGGCCAAATTAAAAGTCCTAATGGTCAAACTTTGGGCAGCCCTGATCTGCTTAAGAAAATAAACAGAAGTGTAGATGTTGAAGAGAGTGAACCAAGTGCTTTTTCTGCATTAAGTTTTGGTGGTATGTGATCTCTAAAGTACTCAGGTTAGCTGTTAAGTACATTTACTTCCTATTAGTTCAAAGTTGTTTTATCTTGGTTCCTAGCTTGTTGTCTCTGGTTACAATTGTGCATTTGAAAATAGATCAAAGAGCAACATTGTTTTAATCATGGCATGTTTTCTGCAAATGAGCAGCAGGCTGTTTCTTGAGGACATACTTGTTATATTCTCATTATATTTTACATTAGGCAGTGCTGTGGCAATCCTGGTAATCCTCAGTAGTAATTTTCAGTTTGGCAGTACCACAGGAATACCACACTCATACCACAGGACTTTTTGTAATGGACCACTCTTTGGACTCAACTGAACTGTCTTAAGACACAACTTCTCTGTGTCTTAAGACAAAGCGATGTCTTAAGTCATGCCCCATCTTCAAGACACACAAAATAATTACTTCTTTGTCTTAAGACGTTAACTTTCATGTCTCAAGACAAAGACAGTGTCTTCACTCATACATCTTAAGATGTTCTTGAGATGTCTTGACATAAGAAAATGTCTCAAGACATCTTGTAAATACTGTCAAGACATCTTAAGACACAGTGACAGCTGGATATGTATGTAGTGCATTCAGTGACATAGTAGCATGTATAGTATGGTTGTAAGCAGACTGTATGCAGAACAGATATCACCTCAGCTATTGCTTTCACTTTACATTCAGTGATGTAGTAGTGTGCATAGTACTGTGGAAATACTGTGGTAAAAAATCCTTACAGTTAAATATCTTAGCTTTTATTTATTTATAAACCCTTATATTGTTAATTTTTGTGAAGGATAGAGTTTATATTTTTATCTTATTTTTACTTTTAGTATTATACAGGGAGATTCATTCGAAAGAGGCCCCGAATATTCTGTAATAACTCTCTCTAGGATGAAGCAATCTGAACAAAACAATGGGCAATGTGCTCCTCAATATATGGAGCTTCGAACAAGCCAGGATGCCCCTGCATCAGAGCGATGAGGTAGGCGCCAGACAGCTGTTGCGACATTTAATCTCAAGTTCCAGGTGCAAACCCCCGTACCCCTTCACTCAGTCACTCAACTTCTCATCAGGATGGTGGTGCACAGTATTGAGCAGCGTGTCTTCATGGTGCAAACCTATTGGGTCACCAGTTCATTTAAGCGATGTCAGAGTGAATTTAGGAAGAAATATGGGGTTTGTGGCGTACCCTCAAAGAGTGTTATTCAGAAGACGGTATGGAAACTGGAAACAACAGGATCATTTATCCCTTCTCATGGTGGAGGCTGTTCGAAAAAATATCCAACAGGAAATTGCTGCTATTCCCCCCGATATGCTTGCCGATATGTTCAGGAACATGGAGCACTGTGTTGAAATGTGTCTGGCAGAAAAGATTCACTTCCAGCATCGCATGTACGATCACACATACGTCAAGGTATGTAGCGTATTTTTGGGGTTCAGATTGCTTCATCCTAACAGGAGTTACAACAGAACATTCGGGGCCTCTTTCGAGTGAATCTCCCTGTATATACTGTCTACAAAGAAACAAATAACAAACTGTAAAAACCTTGTTAAGTATTTTGTTTGTTAATTCTCTTCTTGTTACTCTTTTCTTGACTGCCTTGCTATCCCTTTGCTGCTTTATTAGTCCCCTGTTGTGGGACTAATAAAGGATTATCTTATCTTATCTACTGTCTTATAGTATGGTAGTAAGCTGACTGTATACAACCAGAACAGATATCAACTCAGCTACTGCATTCAGGGATGTAGTGGTGTGTATAGTATGGCAGTAAGCAGACGCAGTTTTGGTGGAGTTGTGCAAGACTAGAGATGAACCTGTTCAGCAAAACTCCATTCAAACTCATTCATTTTGAATGAAGTGTCGCGCACGGTGAGTGCCAATCTACAAAATTCTGGAACTGCATGACCACGTGCCATGATACATGAGGGGCTTGTGCGCACAGCCATAACATTTGCCCCTCATTCTCACTTCGCTCTCACAGAGTGGTGAACCCCTCCTCATCTTTACTTCTGAAAGACTTAGTCTCATTGAAATGCTTTTTTATACCCAGTCATGTTACTGACCTGTTGCCACCAGGTGTGTGTTTAGCATTACACAACTTTACCAGCCTTTTTTTAGAATGAGTTGTTGGCATCAAATTCAAGATGTGCATATTTAAAAAAAAAAAAACAATAAAATTTCTCAGTTTATACATTTGATATGTTGTCTTTGTACTATTTTCAATTAAATGTAGTGTTTAAATGAATTGCACATTGTTGCATTTCAGTTTTATTTATATTTTGCGCAGCATCCCAACGTTTTTTGGAAATGGGGTTGTACATATTCACAGTTCCAAAGACATGCCAAGAAACTCTGTGCTATACTGGACTCTTTTGGACTCTCTTAGCAAGTGAATGGGCGCACACACTGTCATGGTTACACTCTGGATGTGGTCATCTCAAAGGTTCGCAACATATCAGCCACTGTTAAGGAAGTTGCTTTGTCAGGTCATTACTGTGTTTTCTTTGAAATATGGACTTCACTAAACATTAAGACCAGACACATCTGCTTTAAGAAAAGGTTCATAAATGACAGCACAGCTACACTTTTAATGAGTAAAATGAGCTCTGCACCATGTGAGCCATCTGACTCTGTTGATGCTTTGCTGGATAGCTTCAACTCAAACACTCAATGTTATGGATGAGACTGCACAATTAGACAATTATTAGTAGTATTATTAGTATTATTAATAATTAGACAATTATTTGTCAGATGCCTAATTGCATTGCATCACTCAGCCAGCTGTTTATTGTGTTTTTTTACTTTTAGAGGTGTGGTGCCACCCCTGCATATCAGATACATAGATATTGGATGATCAACTGCATCTTGGGCAAGTGATAATTCATGTTAATTGATTTTTCGCCAAACTATTCCTGTAAGTCAGTGGCCGCAGCTGTTCTGAGGTCAGTTGAGAACTATTTACTGCTGACTGGGTAGTTCTGTCACTGTTTTCACAATGAATCTTATAAAACCCTTCCAAAAATACAGTGATCCAGACCTGTGTCATATTCAGAAGAACAACAATTCAAAGACAAGCACATCTACAGTCAAATATTACAGTCAGTAATGTGTATAAGAAGTTTAATTACAGTCAGTCTGTGTGTAGAGACAATAAGTCCGTAACTCACTGTAGTTTCTCCAGTTTACAGTGTGGATCCTCCAGTAGATCAGACAGCAGCTTCACTCCAGACTCTCCTGGGTGATTATAGGTCAGATCCAGTTCTCTCAGGTGGGAGGGGTTTGATTTCAGAGCTGAAGCCAGAGAATAACAGCCTTCACTTGTAACCATACAACCAGACAATCTGCAGAAAGAAAGGGATAAGAGGAACAAATGGTATTCACATACAGCTATAAACAAGCCTTACTACAGAACTAACACAGCAAGCACCAAATTCTGTGAAATATACATGAAAACTCTGAAACAGGACAGAACAAAAAACTGACTCAATATCTTCACAATACTGATTACAACGTGATAAACATCTCATTCTGATTCAGAGCTGCAGGAGACATGATTGAGATTTTGAGAAGAAAAAAAGACATAGATAAGCATATAGATAAGCAAAGCATATAGAAAGTTAAATAAACACTTAATTACCTCATTACAGGTCTACATCTGAGATATCTAAAACAACATATAGATAAACCAGAGGCATTTTGGAATCGAGTGCTGTTAGCTGATAAATGATGTAAAATTTTACTTTTTGGCCACCAGTGTTACCGGTAGTTACTCAATTAAAAATAAAATGACAGCTATTTCAGGGAGGCGTATGTTGATTGTAGAGCTGATCCCAGATTTTCACAAACTTTCGCACCAAGGCTACAGATGTGTAGTCTGCAAACAGGCATTATAATGTACTCAAAAAAAGGATTCCTGAATTGACTAACAGAAAAAAAAACATTGTTTGGATAACACAGTACAAAAATATATTTGTGTATTTTTATTTTACTGGTAGGGTTAGAAGGAAAGAAATAGAATTCTAAAATCACAGAAAGTCCTAACCAAAATAACAATTAAAGTAAAACAAATAAAATCACAGGAAATCCTAATAATTCTGTTATTTTTCATTACCAGTTTATTGTGTTTCATCAGCGTAACTTATTTCCACTGAGGAATTAATTTACAGGAAGTTTACCTGAGCATCTCCAGTTTACAGTTTGAGTTCTTCAGACCAGCAGAGAGCAGCTCCACACCTGAATCTTTCAAGTCATTGTTGCTGAGGTCCAGCTCTTTCTGAGAAGAGTTTGCTGATTGTAGAGCTGATGATAGTTCTTCACAGGAGTATGTGGTAAGACTACAGCTGGCTAGTCTGTAAAAGTCAGATTAAATGCAGTGCATGGTGTAATCAGGGGAACTACAATAGAATTACTTTACTCTCCTTATTCTTGTTACATTCAGAAATAATTAAGCAAAATATTCCAACCCTAATAATTCATCTGTGCAATCCCATTTAAAACAACAAACTTAGTCATTATTTTTTCTAAGTAGCAGCTACCTGTTTGAAGAAGAGAAGCTTAACTGCCACAACAATCCAGCCAATGTATGATACAGGTAAACTTAGATCTCACAATATACTGACAGCAGCATTTATGAATATATTACCAGAAAAAGAACATCATGTTGTTTCAACAACACTTTACACATTTGGAATATTTTTGTATTTCAAGCATGGCCTGAAAAAGATATTCAGCAGAACTCTTAAATCAGGTGAAATGAATATTAAAATTACAGATAATTCTGTTACTGTAAATTTACAACTTGTTAGGCTTGTCATTTTTCCTTCTTTGTTTACAATCTGAATTCACAGAAAGTTCACCTGAGTATCTCTAGTTTACAGTGCGAGTTCTTCAGTCCAGCAGAGAGCAGCTCCACTCCTGAATTCTGCAGGTCATTGTTACTGAGATCCAGCTCTTTCAGAGAGGAGTTCACTGATTGTAGAGTTAAACAGAGTGTTTCACAGAAGTTCTTGGTGATATAAGAGCCATTTAGTCTGCAAAAAATAATAAGCACAATTCAGCAGCAGAAAGAAACTGAGTATGAATCAGAACATACTAGTTTAGCTCTGTAGTTTTTTACAGGAGTTTGTGGTGACACCACACCTGGCTAGTCTGTAAAAGCCAGAGTAAATACAGTACATGGTTTAATCAGGAGAACTGTAATAGAATTACCTTACTCTCCATGTTGCTATTTTGTTTTTACATTGAGAAATAAGTAGACTAGATAGTCATAGCCTCATAGTTCATCCATGTAATCCCACTTAAAACAGCAAACCTATCCATTATCTTTTCTCTTAAAGTAGAAGCTACCTGTATACTAGCAAAGAAAGTTAACTGCCATAAATGTACAGCCATATATAATACAGTTTAACTTAGAACAGATCTCAAAATATACTAAGCATTTGTTAATATATTGAAAGAAAAAGTTGAGGGGGCGGTCATGGGCTGGAAGTTAGGGAACCAGCCTTGTGACCAGAAGGTCGCTGGGTTCAGTCTCTTGAGCCAACAGGACATGACTAAAGTGCCCTTGAGCAAGGCACCTAACCCCCAACTGCTCCCTGGGCACCGTGTATAGTGCTACCCACTGCTCTGGGCAAGTGTGCTCACTGCCCCCTGTGTGTGTGTGTTCACTAGTGTGCATGTATGTGGGTGTTTACACAGATGGGTTAAATGTGGAGGTCTAATTCCTCTGTGTGCAAGCACAGTTGGTCAATGGTTCTAATTTAATTAATTAATTAGAATATCATGTTTCAACAACACATTACACATTTGGTGTATTTTTATATTATAAGCATGGCTAGAGAATATTTAGCAGAACAAGTTTACAATTTGCTAGGCTTGTCATTTATTGTCTTTAATTAAAGTATGAATTCACAGAAAGTTCACCTGAATACCTCCATTTTACAGTGCGAGTTCTTTAGTCCAGCACAGAGCAGCTCCACTCCTGAATCCTGAAGGTCATTGTTACTGAGGTCAAGCTCTTTTAGAGAAGAGTTTGCTGATTGTAAAGCTGATGATAGTTTTTCACAGGAGTTTGTGGTGAAACTGCACCTGACAAGTCTGTAAAAGTCAGAGTAAATACAGTACATGGTTTAATCAGAGGAACTGTAATAGAATTACCTTACTCTCTATGTTCTGCTTTGTTTTTACATTCAGAAATAAGTACGCTAGATATTCATAGCCTCATAATTCATCCATGTGATTCCATTTAAAACTACAATCCTAGACATAGTCTTTTCTCTCCATGGAGAAGCTACCTGTTTAGTAACATAGAAAGTCAACTGCCACAACAATCCAGCCAATATATGATACAGTTAAACTTAGAATAGATCTCACAATATTCATGAAAGAAACCTTTCTGAATACATTAAAAGAAAAGAATATCATATTGTTTCGACAACACAACATACATTTGGTGGATTTTTATATTTAAAGCATCACCAGAGAAAGAGATTCAGTACAACTCTAAAATCTGCTGAATATTAATTTTTTACACAATACTGTGATTGTAATGTTACAAATTGTCATGGTTTGTTAAATTTCTTTTTTAATTATAATATGAATTCACAGAAAGTTCACCTGAGTATCTCCAGTTTACAGTGCGAATTCTTTAGTCCAGTACAGAGCAGCTCCACTCCTGAATCCTGAAGGTCATTGTTACTGAGGTCAAGCTCTTTTAGAGAAGAGTTTGCTGATTGTAAAGCTGATGATAGTTTTTCACAGGAGTTTGTGGTGAAACTGCACCTGACAAGTCTGTAAAAGTCAGAGTAAATACAGTACATGGTTTAATCAGAGGAACTGTAATAGAATTACCTTACTCTCTATGTTCTGCTTTGTTTTTACATTCAGAAATAAGTACGCTAGATATTCATAGCCTCATAATTCATCCATGTGATTCCATTTAAAACTACAATCCTAGACATAGTCTTTTCTCTCCATGGAGAAGCTACCTGTTTAGTAACATAGAAAGTCAACTGCCACAACAATCCAGCCAATATATGATACAGTTAAACTTAGAATAGATCTCACAATATTCATGAAAGAAACCTTTCTGAATACATTAAAAGAAAAGAATATCATATTGTTTCGACAACACAACATACATTTGGTGGATTTTTATATTTAAAGCATCACCAGAGAAAGAGATTCAGCACAACTCTAAAATCTGCTGAATATTATTTTTTTTACACAATACTGTGATTGTAATGTTACAAATTGTTATGGTTTGTCAAATTTCTTTTTTAATTAAAATATGAATTCACAGAAAGTTCACCTGAGTATCTCCAGTTTACAGTGTGAGTTCTTTAGTCCAGCACAGAGCAGCTCCACTCCTGAATCCTGAAGGTCATTGTTACTGAGGTCAAGCTCTTTTAGAGAAGAGTTTGCTGATTGTAAAGCTGATGATAGTTTTTCACAGGAGTTTGTGGTGAGACTACACCTGACTAGTCTGTAAAAGCCAGAGTAAATACAGTACATGGTTTAATCAGGGGAACTGTAATAGAATTACCTTACTCTCCATGCTCTACTTTACGTTCAGAAATAAGTACGCTAGATATTCATAGCCTCATAATTCATCCATGTGATCCCATAGTAGACAAAGTTAATTGCCACAACAATCCAGCCAATGTAAGATACAGTTAAAAGATCTCACAATATCCTGAAAATCCTTTTCTAAATAGATTAAAAGAAAAAGAATATTATGTTGTTTCAACAACACATTACACGTTTGGAGTATTTCTATTTTTCAAGCATGGCCAGTGAAAGATATTCAGCAGAATTCTAAAACCAATTGAAACGAGTATTAAAATTATACATAATTCTGTTTTTGTAAGGTTAAAATGTGTCATTTTTTTAATTAAATATTAAATTCTCTGAAAGTTCACCTGAGTATCTCCAGTTTACAGTGTGAGTTCTTCAGTCCAGCAGAGAGCAGCTCCACTCCTGAATTCTGCATGTCATTGTTACTGAGGTCCAGATCTTTCAGAGAGGAGTTCACTGATTGTAGAGTTAAACAGAGTGTTTCACAGAAGTTCTTGGTGATATAAGAGCCATTTAGTCTGCAAAAAATAATAAGCACAATTCAGCAGCAGAAAGAAACTGAGTATGAATCAGAACATACTAGTTTAGCTCTGTAGCTCTGCCCCTGGCTGGTATACAACCCCAAAGCATAAACAATCCAATCATATTACAGGCCCGCATGTACAAGTAGGTGTATAGAAGAGAAGGAGTTCAACTATATAAGAGGGTGCTAGACCATTTAGGGCCTTAAATGTCAAGAGAAGGACCTTGAACTGGTAACCACTGCAGCTGGTAACCACTGCAACTAATAGAGAAATGACACAGAATTGGGCTGATGTGAGCAGTTTTTTTTTTTAAAGACAAATAAGCGAGCTGTGGAGTTGTTGTATTGAACGTGTTGAAATATTTTTGCTGGGATACCAATAAAAAGAGAAATACAATAATCTAGATGTGATGTTATGAAGGTGACAAAGCAATGTTGTACACAACAGTCAATCCACCCCCTCAACCATGAGGACTAGGTTTATCTTTGTACTTGTGTCAATCGGGTACTAACATGTTGAGAGGGAGATAATCAACAGGTTGTTGCCGAGTCTCAGTGAGCAAAAACATGGGTAAGTTGTTCTGAACTGTAATGTCATTTAACACACTTGTCAGTGAGAGAGCGACAGTTGAGGAGCACAAATTTCATTACTTTTCTTAGGTAAGCACACAAAGGCAATGCAAGGTAATAGACAGATGAGACCCAAGTTCATTTCTGGTGGACAAGACTCGCTGGGCTCTTCCGATTGACTAGATGATAGGAATTACAGACTCCTCCGAAAGAGCGGTGACATCTAGATGAGCGGTGAATGTAATGGGGAGATGAGAAAATACCAAGTGGCGTAATGTATATGTAAGGTGGTGTTATTCCCAGTTAAGACCAGTAAGTGGCGGTATGCACATTACCATTCCACTTGTTCCTTGCTGTGACGTTGCTTCCCTATTGTCACAGTACTGTTTTGTCCTGTGAAGGTGAGCCAGGGCGAGTTTTGTCTCTGTGAATAATCCTTATTAATCCTTGGAAAATATCAAACACCCAGTGATGTTTTGTGTAGATTAGAGAAGTAGTAAACTGTATGTACTAGTTTGACAAAAATTAGTAATTATTTGTGCTGTATCACTGTGATTTTTATCTTGAAAGTTGCAAGCTAATCTGGATGTGAATTTATGGCATCAGCCATGTTTCACAAATTTATGCAGTGTCAGCTATCTCTAAAAAATGCAGTTAGTTTTATTTCTTGTTAATTAGTGAAATGTATAGGAGTTAAAAGAAATATTTTCTGAGCATTCCGTGTTTGTGGTGAATTTCAGCTTTGTTGTCTAGTGAAAAGAATCTGTAAATCAAAGAATTAGTAATAGTAGCTATGTAACTCATTCCATTGCATTCCAGTTAAACTGAGCTTAACACAGCACTGTTTTGTTCTGTGAAGATGAAAATTGCTGCCTGTTGTGACCCAACCAAGAGAAGTCTGCTAATAAAACAGCACCACCAGCTGATGCATCACAGTTCTGCGCTCCCTGGTTCCTTTCATTCCATCAATACACAACACAGAGATTTGCTAGGGATTGGCATGAACGGAAAAGGGTTATATATACATAGCAGCGTCCAAATATTAATGGAAGCAAAACACAACTGTCATATAACAACATGCAATAGACATAGAGGCCATAAACTTGAGCGGCCAAACCAACAAAAGAACCACTAGTGCCATAAAGGCAAGTGCTGAACACCATGCTATGTTAGCCAACCTGCTTAAAGTGACACCAACCAGTGAGCAGAGTAGTAGGGAAGCACTTAACCAATAGTGCTTCCTTACAGCCAAAAACGTGTAGGAAATCAGGAAGAGAGCTCTCAGCAGAAGTGGTGTACTAACAGCCAAAAAAAAACAAACATCCATAAACAAAAGAAAAAACAAAGTCAGCCAAAACTACTGTCCAGTAAGAAGTAGCAGCACCAACAGGCACAAGCGTACTCTCAACCAGAAACTGAAAGAATTAAAATTATGCTGTGGAATTTACACCTCAGTTGGATTAAGCCTAATCAATCAAATAAGTTCTGAGCCCTTACAAAACATACACTAGTGGACTGACTGTAGGGACACATTTTATTTTTATTCTCAATTTAATTCAACAAATAAATGTTTATTGTGCATTAAAATGTGTAGTACTATAAAAGTGTGTTCTACTTTTATAGTACTACTATAACTCTAGAAACACTGAAAAAAAGTTTTCTGAAAACTTTTTAAAAGAGAAGGTGTAATCATGCTTAGGTATAAAAGGAGAATCCATTACGGATGGCTTGAGGCTCATGACTTTTCACTACCAAAAAATGCATCAGCAAATAGTCCAAATGTTTAGAAACTCTGCAGTGTTCAGTTTTATTAAAAGATTCAGAGAATATAGAAGAATCTCTTTGCTTAAAAAAGAAAGCCTCATCATGACTGCATAACCAGAGAGTGAGGGTTCTAGACTGATCTGCCTGTCTCTTATTGAAAACGTGTGGTGCATTATGAAGAGCGAAATACAAAAAGAAGGCTCCACTGACTGCACAGCTGAAGACTGGTATAATGAAAGAATGGCAAAACTATCTGCTTTCAAAAATAGATCAGTGTGTGTGTTCAGTCCCCAAACAAAAAGTGCTGTTAAAAGGAAATGTGATGTAACACAGTGATAAACATGCTTCTGTCTTGCTTTTTTGAAAAATGTTGCAGGCATCATATTTGGAGTAAGTGTATACTTAAAAAATGAAATATATAAGGTAAACATCAAATATGTTTTTGTGCTATTTAAATTTAAAACACTTCAAACAGAATTCACTCATCACTGCATTTTGTATTATTTGGCATTTCACACACTGTCCCAACTTTTTACGGAATTGTGTCTGTAATTTGGCCAGGGGTGCCTGCAGTTTTTGCATAGACTGTACCATTACACCACTTTCCAGTTTAAAATAATCCAAAGCAGTGGTAAAATGAAACATAAGAATGTTATTTATGGCTTTGGTGCAGGAACCTAATCAGTTTTGTCACAATATTCGATTTATAAACTTTTATAGAATCATTTAAAAAGTGCAATTATTTGAGACTTTTTTAAACATCACAATATTAAAACAAAGATTATTTTCATAACACTGACTGTTCACACACTCCTTTGATTGGACAGTGCTGAGTTCGAGTTTGTTATCTGGCTAGCTGAAAAATTCTGCTTTGTTCAAAATCTCTTTGATTAAATGCTTGAAGTCTAAAACAAGTAGAACAAAGCAGAAGCAACAAGTAAAATCAGTTGAGCTCCTGCTTGGTAAAAATGAAAACTTGCAGCCACACAGTCTTTCGTTAGATAAGAGACACTGATAACCGTCAGAAACAGCAGTTTGCACAACCAGGCTGAAATAACAGTGCAGCATTCTTTTTCTTTTCCTTGCTCATGATTGAGGTAGATCTGCAGCGCACTTGTGGTTAATCTAGTGGTATCTGTCCATTTCTCTGTGAAAACTGTAGTACAGAATAAACCACTGCAGATTATGTTTGTGGTTCTGTCTCATTCAACATAGCGTAGAGTGGAGCTGTGAGGGAGTCTGGGTTACACATATGAACCTGAATAATGGAGCAACTGGAGCACCTGCTCCCCTAATTTTATTTCAGAAGGGGGATACTGAAGTTTACTGTCCACTTTATTAGAAGCACCTACTCCACAACTGATTCTAATTGTTGCTTCTGCCTTTGCTTAGTCTTCAAACATCTGATATGGGAGTATTTTACAAAGTACAATTTCTTTGTTAACATATGCATATTCTAATTGAGATTGTTAGTTAAGGGGGTCACTGCCACCATTTCAAAGGAGTCATATTCAGGTGAAATAAGTACAGCAGACTTTAGCTAACGGTGGAGAGATATAATCTATGGCAGGGGTGTCTTCAAACTGCTGGTCATGTGAACTCCTGCTTTGTCGGAGTGAAAACCTGCAGCCACACCAGCCCTTTGCGGATAAGATTGGACACCCCTGATCTATGTAAATAATGTTTTAAAGTCTATGTAAAAGTAAACTGAGAGGTTTGTATCAAAACATGCTATACAGCTTAGAAAATCATTGCAGAAAACACGTGAAAAGACTGTCAACAAAGTAGTACTCAATTGCAGACTTAGATAGTTAAGCAATTTTTCAATACTCAGTATGACTCCTCCCCTAACAATATAACAGTATAAAAACATAACCCATACATAGCGTGACCCCTCCCCTAACAATATAATACTATAAAAACTAAAGCCATATTTAGCAGAACACCTCTGCTGACACTATAAAGCTTTAAAAACAAAGAGCCAAACTGAGAATGACCCCTTCTCTAACACAATAACGTTATAAAAATTAGATCCTATAATGGTATGAGAACTAGGGCCATACGTAGCATGACCCCTGCCCGAACATATTAAGTGATTAAGAGACCCTTATTAGTCCCACAATGGGGAAATTTCACCTCTGCATTTAACCCATCCGTGCAGTGAAACACTGCATACACACTAGTGAACACACACACTGGGGGCAGTGAGCACATTTGCCCAGAGCAGTGGGCAGCCCTATCCACAGCACCCGGGGAAAAGTTGGGGGTTAGGTGCCTTGATCAGGGGCACTTCAGCCATATCCTGTCAGCTCTGGGGATCGACCTGGCAACCTTCCGGTCACAGGGCTGGTTCCCTAACCTCCAGCCCGTGCCTGCCCCCATGACTGCCTCCCACTTCAACAGTATAAATCTAGGTGTGTTTAGCATGACACCTAACACTATGATTTCATAAAAACTAATGCCAAACTTTCTATGACCCCTCCCCTAACATGATAATGTTATAAAAATTAGAGCTGGACTTACCATGACCCCACCATGACCCCACCCAAACAAGAGCCATACTTAGCGTATGCCCTTCGCTAACAATATATCGGTATAAAGACTAGAGCGACTCTTAGCATGACCCCTCCCCTAATGCTATACTGCTATAAAAGCCAGAGCCATACATAGCATGACCCCTCCATTAACACTATGAGAGTATAAAACTAGAGCTGTACTTAGCAAGACCCCCACCCTAACACTGTATCAGTATAAAACTAGAGCCATACTAAGCATGAGCCCTCCCCTAACACTATAACGCTATAAAACTAGAGCCATACTAAGCATGAGCCCTCCCCTAACACTATAACGCTATAAAACTAGAGCCATACTTAGCGCGACCCCTCCCCTAAGACTATAAAACTAGAGCCATACTAAGCATGAGCCCTCCCCTAACACTATAACGCTATAAAACTAGAGCCATACTTAGCGCGACCCCTCCCCTAACACTATAACGCTATAAAACTAGAGCCATACTTAGCGCGACCCCTCCCCTAAGACTATAAAACTAGAGCCATACTAAGCATGAGCCCTCCCCTAACACTATAACGCTATAAAACTAGAGCCATACTTAGCGCGACCCCTCCCCTAACACTATAACGCTATAAAACTAGAGCCATACTTAGAGTGACCCCTCCCCTAACACTATAACGCTATAAAACTAGAGCCATACTTAGCGCGACCCTTCCCCTAACACTATAACGCTATAAAACTAGAGCCATACTTAGAGTGACCCCTCCCCTAACACTATAACGCTATAAAACTAGAGCCATACTTAGAGTGACCCCTCCCCTAACACTATAACGCTATAAAACTAGAGCCATACTTAGCGCGACCCCTCCCCTAAGACTATAAAACTAGAGCCATACTAAGCATGAGCCCTCCCCTAAGACTATAACGCTATAAAACTAGAGCCATACTTAGCGCGACCCCTCCCCTAACACTATAACACTATAAAACTAGAGCCATACTTAGAGTGACCCCTCCCCTAACACTATACCGCTATAAAACTAGAGCCATACTAAACATGAGCCCTCCCCTAACACTATAACGCTATAAAAACTAGAGCCTTACTTAGCGCGACCCCTCCCCTAACACTATAACGCTATAAAACTAGAGCCATACTAAGCATGAGCCCTCCCCTAACACTATAACGCTATAAAACTAGAGCCATACTTAGCATGACCCCTCCCCATGACTTTATTAAAAACTTATATTTACTGTTAATGTAAACAATTGAATAGGCTACAGCTCCCCCTGCGACCAAGAAGGATAAGCGGCTTAGAAGATGTCTGTGTGTGTAAACAATTGACAATCTGAAAATGTTCAAATATTTACATTGTAAAGTTAATAATTTATAATTAATACATTGAAGAGCATGCTTAACTGAAGAGGTACATAACAATATGTCAGTATCATAGTGTATACCAATATAGATAGTATATCATTCAGTCCTGACTCCTACATTAGGGATTTCTAATAAAGTGGCCAAGCAGTATACCTGCAGCACTTTGTAATAACTAAAACCATAATAACTACTACCTGTATTTAATTGTCTAAATGAAGGTCTAATGTGATCAGTCCTAATTAATAATCAATAATCAGATATTAATCTCTTGTATTAATGTAGATGTAACACTCACCGAGCTTTTCTGCAGACAGTCAGAGCTGGGATCAGTCTCCTGTAACCCTCCTCTGATGTGCTGTATTTCTTCAGGTCCAGCTCATCCAGAACCTCCTCTGAGGTCAGGAGCATATAGGCTAGTGCTGAACACTGTCCAGGAGAGAGAGTCTCCTCTGAGTGTCTCTCTGAGTTTAGATACTTCTGAATCTCTCTGGAGAGAGACTGGTCATTCATCTCAGACAGACAGAGGAACAGGTTGATTGATCTCTTAGTGGAGATGCGATAATTATCTCCTTTGATTAAGCTCTTGATGTGCTCTCTGGTTCTCTCTGAGCTGCTCTGTGTTGGGGTCAGTAGACCCTGGAGGCATCTCTGATTGGACTCCAGTGAGATGCCCAGCAGGAAACGGAGGAAAAGATCCAGGTGTCCATTCGGACTCTTTACTGCTTTATTCACTGCTGCCTTCAGCACCTCATCCAGAGGAACATCCTCAGACCACTCACTGTACAGTGGATCATCCTCAGACCACTCACTGTACTGTACTGGCATAAAACACTGCAGTTCTTCTTTGTTGATATCAAACCAGTGAAACACATAAACAGCAGCCAGGAACTCCTGAAAGCTCAGATGAACAAAGCAGTAGACCTTCCTCTGGTGAAGCACACATTCCTCCCTAAAGATCTCAGTGAAAATCCCAGAATACACTGAGGCCTCAGTGACATCAATGCTGCTCTCTCTCAGGTCCTCTTCATAGAACATCACATTGCCCTTCATCAGCTGTTTGAAAGCCAGTTCAGCCAGTTTCAGAAGAACGGTTCTGTTGGACTCCAGCAGGTTCTTTGGGTCTCTCTCGTCTTTCTCCTCATACTTCTCGTTCTTCATGTTGGTCTGAGTGATCAGGAAGTGTGAGTACATTTCAGTCAGAATTTTAGGGATTTCTGTATGACGCTGTTTCATGATCTGCTGAAGAACAGTGGCTGAGATCCAGCAGAAGACTGGAATGTGGCACATGATGTGGAGGCTCCTCACTGTCTTAATGTGGGAGATGATTCTCTGGGCTTGGTCTTCATCACTGATCCTCTTCCTGAAGTACTCCTCCTTCTGTGGGTCACTGAATCCCTGAATTTCTGTCACACGGTTGATGTATTGAGGAGGGATCTGATTGGCTGCTGCTGGTCGGGAGGTGATCCAGATCAGAGCAGAGGGAAGCAGATCTCCTTTGATGAGGTTGGTCATCAACACATCCACTGATGATGTCATGGTGATGTCAGATACTTTCCCACACTGTTCAAAGTTCAGTGGAATTCTGCTTTCATCCAGACCATCAAATATAAACACAGCTTTGATCTGATCATAAATCGTTGGGTCCAGATCTTTGAGCTCAGGATGGAAGTCACACAGAAGTCCATGAAGACTGTATTGATCATCTTTAATCAGGTTCAGCTCCCGGAATGGAAGCACAAACATGAGCTCCACATCCTGATTGGCTTTTCCTTCAGCCCAGTCCAGAATGAACTTCTGCACAGAGACTGTTTTTCCAATTCCAGCAATGCCTTTAGTCAGAACAGCTCTGAGCTCTGGCTCTTCTGGTCTGTTATCTTCTCTTTCTCTGTGTCTGAGTCTGTCAGCCTTCACAGCTCTAATGGTCTCTTCTCGTGTTTCTCCTTCAGGACCTTGTAGAGGTTTAAAGATGTCTAAGCAGTTGATTGGAGAGTCTTGTAAGCGTCTCCTGGGTGTTTTCTCCATCTGTAGAACCTCATGTTCTTCATTCACTCCTTCACTCTCTCCCTCTATGATGTAGAGCTGAGTGTAAATCCTGTTCAGGAGGGTTTTATTCTCTTCTGTTCTGATTCCCTCAAATAGGCTCTCGTACTTGTTCTTCATGCTGGTTTTGTGTCTCTCTAAGACTCTGTGTAGAACATCATCCACTGGCTGGTGAATATCTGCCAGAGTGTTTATCTGCAGTGCTGTTTGTGTGGAGTGCTGCCTAATCAGGACCAAACACAGTAACACAAACATCATTAACACAAATACCCATAATAATCTTCTGATCATATATTTCATTAGATTTGAGATATTTAGTTAAAAAAAGATTTTTAGGTTTACCTCACATTCCAAAGATACCATTACATGTTTTGCTTTTGTTTTTTCCAAAACTAACAATTATAAATATCTTCAGCCAATAATGGAGTAATATAATGTAAATAACATTAATTGAGGTTAAACTTGGTTTTAAATATTATAGAACTGGTTGTTTATGGTTAAAAATTCACCATCACACACTGTGATCTGAGCAGCAGTCAGTCAGAATCAAACCTGTACTGAGGCATGTGGCGCTGTTTGGGTCTCTATTCTGCTAAGCTGACATTAAGTTATCCAATTAGACTCTGCAGATGCCTTAATGTTTAGTAGAAGCTGCCCAGAAAAATGTTTGTGAGCATGTTGAAAGTGATATTATTATTATTATTATTATTATTATTAAACAATACAATCAAAATAAAACATAAATCAAGTTACGTTGTGCATTGATTAATACATAGTTCATAAAATTAAAAATAAATAACTATGTAAAAACAACAGATTCATGAAAAAGTTTATAAAAGTGTAATTAGTCACTTGAAATCATGTGCCGTGATTTCCTGTCTCTACTGGTTATTTTTTCTTGCAATAAACATTATCAAACATCTAATTCTGATTAACACTGGAGCTGGAGGCTGAAGCCTATCCCAACTGTCATTGGGAGGTGATTAAATAAATATTGTTATGAATTATTGGTTAACGTGTTCAACACAGTCCTGAAATGAATGGAAGTGAAGCCTCTCTGAAGCCTCTCTGAAATGGTCCTCTCACACCTGAGCAGCTCACCTCTATGCACTGGAAGTGCAAATGCTAAGCATGCAACTGCTATGCTCAAGCTAAAGTGAAGCAGTGAGAGCTCCCCCTTCTGGATGTTTACAGACATAATCTATCAACTTTCTTTCACTTTCTGTAAACCCTAATAATCAATAGCAGGTCCATTTTAATAGAGTCTGGCTGCAAACATGCACTCTCAGCCAGACGCTCTCTCAGCCAGACGCTCTCTCAGCCAGACGCTCGCTCAGCCAGACGCTCGCTCAGCCAGGCGCACTCTCAGCCAGACGCTCTCTCAGCCAGACTCATTCTCAGCCAGACGCACTCTCAGCCAGACGCTCTCTCAGCCAGGCGCTCGCTCAGCCAGGCGCTCGCTCAGCCAGGCGCACTCTCAGCCAGGCGCTCTCTCAGCCAGACGCTCTCTCAGCCAGACTCATTCTCAGCCAGACGCACTCTCAGCCAGACGCTCTCTCAGCCAGACGCTCGCTCAGCCAGACGCTCTCTCAGCCAGACGCTCTCTCAGCCAGACTCATTCTCAGCCAGGCGCTCTCTCAGCCAGACGCTCTCTCAGCCAGACGCTCTCTCAGCCAGACTCATTCTCAGCCAGACGCTCTCTCAGCCAGACTCATTCTCAGCCAGACGCTCTCTCAGCCAGACTCATTCTCAGCCAGGCGCTCTCTCAGCCAGACGCTCTCTCAGCCAGACGCTCTCTCAGCCAGACGCTCTCTCAGCCAGACTCATTCTCAGCCAGACGCACTCTCAGCCAGGCGCTCTCTCAGCCAGGCGCTCTCTCAGCCAGACTCATTCTCAGCCAGGCGCTCTCTCAGCCAGGCGCACTCTCAGACAGACTCACTCTCAGCCAGACTCACTCTCAGCCAGGCGCTCTCTCAGCCAGGCGCTCTCTCAGCCAGGCGCACTCTCAGACAGACTCACTCTCAGCCAGACTCACTCTCAGCCAGACGCTCTCTCAGCCAGACGCTCTCTCAGACAGACTCATTCTCAGACAGACTCACTCTCAGCCAGACGCTCTCTCAGACAGACGCTCTCTCAGACAGACGCACTCTCAGACAGACGCACTCTCAGCCAGACGCTCTCTCAGCCAGACGCACTCTCAGCCAGACTCACTCTCAGCAAGACGCTCTCTCAGACAGGCGCACTCTCAGACAGACTCACTCTCAGCAAGACGCTCTCTCAGCCAGACGCTCTCTCAGCCAGACGCACTCTCAGCCAGGCGCACTCTCAGTCCCAGTGATGTCACATGCTCTCTCTGCCACAATGGCAGAATCAGTCTAACAGCTTGTTAACACTTGGCTGCTTCTGCTAAGCGAGTTGAAAGGAATCTTAAATAGACCTGAGAGATCAAACAGTATTTAGTGCTGGTTTAAAGATCCATTAACACTATTTTTACTCATTTCTCTAGATGTGTGTTACTATTTCCTTGGCTCAGTATGAACTGTAATTCATGCATTCAGTCAAACATCAATTTTTGTGGTATAAATGATCTCCAAATCAAATATAATTGAACATTTTGATAATAAATATCAAGAGAACATAAAACCCTGTGTGTTCATATTTAGAGAGAATTCACTGTATTTTTTGGGTTTCAGTCCTGCTGATATTGAATATGTGAGAAACTCCAGCCTTTATAAACTGATCTACAGCCAGAGATCAGGAACCTGTTTACAGTGATTCACTGTCAGAGCTGCTGTTTACTGGGAGCAGATATTTACCCTGAGTCAGAGGATCCTCTCCCTCCACTGGACGGTGCTGGAAACATCATGGACCAGTCACTCTTCTCAGACACACAGCTGGGTTCTCCTCCTCCACTGCTGAAATCAGGAGAGTTCTCCATGGACCGGTCACTCTTCATCGACACACAGCTGGGTTCTCCTCCTCCTCTGCTGAAATCAGGAGAGTTCTCCACGGACTGGTCACTCTTCTCAGACACAGCTGGGTTCTTGAGGTCCTGCACGCTTCACTCTGAGAAAAGTTCATCCACAGTGAGATTTCAGTGCTGAGTGATTATGATCTTCACTAAGACTCATTTATTCTGATTTCCTCTTTCTGTTTAATCAGATTAAGATCTGATATAAAGTTACTCACTTTGAATCAGAGGTTCTTCCTCCACTGCTGGAATGATGAAGCTCCATCACTAAGGTTTTACTCTCCACACACAGCTGGACACTGGAGATGCTGCTCTCTGTCAACAGATCATCCATAAACATGTAAACTTACTCTATGTTGAATAATGAGTTTGTTGTTAACACAGCAGGAAATATTTTTAACACTAATATTTGTTTTGTTAAAATGATCGAATTCATATTCATCACTACAGAGGAAGTTGAAGCAGACACAGGAAAACGGGCGCTAGACCTACTGACACCATCACATCTTCTGCTGCTCCAGTCTTTATTAATCATAATCAGTCATTATATGATACTAAACTGCTGCCAGTAAATGCTTTGTAGAGCTCAGACTGTCCATCACACCTGAGTTTCTTTTACTTTGTACATGAAAAATGAAAGAATCCAAAAAAAATGAATGAATTAGTGTTTCCTAATTGTTATGATTTCACATTTAGCTGAGGTTGACATAATCTGATAATACAGTTGAGATGTGATTCTTTCTGAATAAATGATGTAGTGGTGACATAAATCACATTTTTCAGTTTATGTACAGTTTATGAGCTTCTCTTCCGCATGAATATGCATATGAGAGAGGATCATGCCAAACATGGCCAGATCACTCAGAAAATGGGTTGATGAGCTGCTGGAAGTGCAGCTGATTATATTTATCACTGGATTTGTTGAAGTCTGATGAACTCACAAACTCATGAACTCAGCTTTGTGTCAATTTTTCTCCACCATTTAAAACTAGGAGTAAATGTGTGTTACTGTCTCAAAGTTGCATTGTTGAGAGACTTACATTAACAACGTCAGCAAACACAGTGGACAGACAGAGACACGAGCCTCGAACACGACCTGAAAGAATATTTAACATCAGAATAAACTGTTTAAATGATCAGGATCAGACGGACGTGTGAGAGAAGATTTTGCACTGTGATGTGGCCTCAATGTGCTCTTACAGTCTCTGTTACTGTTTCACAAACTCTACTACCCAGAGCAGATTATCACCCTGTAGAAGGATTATCAACAAAATACTCTCTCAGTTTATTATTAATAAACTATTTACTGATAGAATCTCAGTATAAACAGACAGTAGAACTGATCACCTCTATAATCCTGATAATCATGATCAATAATGTTACTGTCTCTTTCTGATCAGTTCATTATTAATAAACTGTATTTACTGATAGAATCTCAGTATAAACAGACAGTAGAACTGATCAGCTCTATAATCCTGATAATCATGATCAATAATGTGTCTGAGGTCTGATGTTATCTAGATGAAAGGAGCTCCAGGTGTGGAACCGAAGCTCCTCTCTCCATGTATGTAGAACCACAGCTCTGCACAGGTTACTCTGCTCTACCTGCTGAGGTTAATCAGGTGAGGCTGGAAGTGAGGAACACTTCACTGCACCATTCATACTGTAAACTCTCTCTACCTCAGTAGAACTGTCCTCCTCTCACGTGTAGGTTCACTGGTGGTTCTGGATAGTAAATAAAATGTCTATATTTGTGTTGTAGTCATGGCGACCCCTGGTTCCTATCACCACCACTGTAAAGACATCTGAACCATTTACACCTCAACTAGTGAATTATTCTGACATTTTAGTCAATTATTCTATATTTTGAAAAACTGGTGGAATTCCCCTGTAACTCCGAATGTGTTTGCGTTCTGTTAAACACGTCTAACCAGCACGTCACTGCGAGCGACAGAGAGCACGTCACTGCGAGCGACAGAGAGCACGTCACTGCGAGCGACAGAGAGCAGCACACCTTAGAACTTCAGATCGAGCAGCGTCCAAACTTTACTTGAAAACTTTACTTGAAAATTAGTTGAAAATTCTGCAGTTAGCAGGCCGCTAACCCCCTCACGCCTCTCCCTCTTATTTTGTCTTCTCCCTCTCTTTTTCTCTATCTTTCTCTCAGTTATTCCCTCAGCCCATCCACCATGGCGTCCGCCCAGAAACGCGCCCTCCAGACCCTGAGCGTAGAGTTGGCCCGGCTGGACCGACAGATCACCGTCCTACTGAAGAAGCAGGACGAGCTCCTTCGGCAGAAGTCGATGCTCGAAGCCACCCAGGAAGTTTCCCCCTCAGTGGTGGCGCCAGCGTCGTCTTTCCGCACGCCGGGAGACACCGTTCTCACGCCAGCCCCGCATGGTCCCTGGGAACGCCAGCGCCGCAGAGGGCCCTGCAGACCCTCACCGCCGCCCCAGCCGATCTTCACCTCCGGCAACCGTTTCGCCGTCCTTTGTTCACCGCCCACGCCCTCACCTACGTCCCGGGCCTCCTCGCTGCCGCCCGCCCCAGCGCCCCGGACCTCGTCACCCGCCCCGACACCGCCAGGAAGAAGACGGACGCCAGGATCGTCATCTCCGGACCGCTACCCACCTACAGGAGGGGATCCGAGCGGTTCAGCAGGCTCTTCGCGCTGCAGTCCTGGCTCCGCGGCTGGTGCGCCCTCAACGGCTTGACCTACGTGGACAACTGGGCCTCGTTTTGGGAACAGCCAGCGCTCTTCCGGAGGGACGGCCTCCACCCCAGTCGCCTGGGATCCATAGTTCTCTCACGGAACATCGAGAGGGCCATCCGCTGACTCCAGAGCGAAGGCCACGTAAGTAGCGGCAAAGATAGAAACGCTACAGCTCATTATGATAGTGCTACTGCTGAAGATTATGCGATTGCTAGCTTTTATACTGTAAATAGGGTAACAAATGCTCATTCTATAAATATAAATGCTCATAGGTTTCTCCCAGTAGAGACTGTGTCTGTTCCCCGAATAAAACAAAGCATCAAAAAGCCTCGAAAAGTTTGCTTCAGTAACTTGATTAATATCAGACCAGTTATACCAGTTTGCAGTGACAGCACCTTTGGTCTAAAACTAGGACTGCTTAATATAAGATCCCTTACTCCTAAAGCTGTCGTTGTTAATGAAATTATTACCGATCACAGCTTTGATGCTCTGTGCCTCACAGAAACGTGGATTAGACCCGATGAATACTTTAGTCTAAACGAAGCCACACCCCCAGGCTACAGCTATGCACATAGCCCTCGTTTAAGCGGCCGAGGTGGAGGTATAGCAACCATCCATACTAAAGCTTTAGGCGTGAGGCAGAAAGTAGGCTATACATTCTCTTCTTTTGAAGTTCTTTTTCTTAATATAAGTGATCAAGGAACAAATAAAAATTCCTTTACACTAATTACAGTCTACAGGCCACCAGGGCCGTATTCTCAGTTCTTACAGGAATTCTCTGAGTTTCTATCAAGTCTAATAACGCTTTCAAATAAAATAATAGTTGTCGGAGATTTTAATATCCATTTAGACAATCCCCAAGATGCACTAAGCAAGGCATTTATATCTATCATAGACTCCATAGGTTTCACCCAAATCATAAAGGGGCCCACACACTACCACAACCACACTCTAGACTTAATACTGACTTTTGGTGTAAACATAGATAACTTAGCCATTCTCCCCCAGAGCACAGCAGTCTCTGACCATTACTTAATCTCTTACGAAATTCACTTTAGTGGTAATGTGCGTTCATCACCATGTTATTGTGTCAAGCGGACAATAACTCTCTCCACAGCTGGTAGCTTTATTAGAAACCTTCCTAAATTATCAGCCGCTCTCATCTGTCCATCTAATCCTACTGAGCTAGATGCTATGACCAAGCTCTTAGAGAATAGTTTTCGATCTACTCTAGATAGTGTGGCCCCATTAAAAAGTAAAATAGTAAGGCAGAAAAAACTCGCCCCCTGGTATAATGACAACACTCGGGCTTTAAAACAGAACGCCAGACAACTTGAGCGTAAATGGCGCCTGACTAAGCTAGAAGTGTTCCAGTCCGCCTGGAAGGAGAGCCTTACAGACTATAGACAAGCACTTGCTACAGCACGCTCAGCTTATCTCTCCTCTCTCATAGAAAGCAATAAGAATAATCCTAGATTACTTTTCAGCACAATCTCTAAACTAACAGAGAACAAAACAGTTAGTGAACCCCAGATACCATCAGCCTATAGCAGCAACGATTTTATGCATTTCTTTAGTGATAAAATTGAAAAAATTAGGCAGAAAATTCAGAATACGCAATTAAACTCTAGAAACCTGCTTCCCCATACTGCCAGCCTCAACCTTGAAAATATTATAATTCCTGCAGAGAGGCTGGAATCGTTTACCTTACTCCAAGAAAATGAACTATTTAAAATAGTCTCTTCCGCGAAATCATCTACCTGTATGTTAGATCCGATTCCTACAGGTTTACTCAAGGAAATTCTGCCAGAAATAACCAAGCCTATTCTGTCAATAATAAACTCTTCTCTTAGCCTTGGGTACATCCCAAAATCTCTTAAACTAGCAGTAATTAGACCGCTGATTAAGAAAGCTAACCTCGATCCATGCGAACTTTCAAATTATAGACCCATCTCGAATCTCTCCTTTATATCTAAGATCTTGGAAAACGTTGTAGCAAAACAGTTAAGCTCCTTTTTACATAGGAATCAAATACATGAAAAATTCCAATCTGGTTTTAGGCCACATCATAGTACAGAAACAGCACTAGTAAAAATTGTAAATGATCTATTATTATTTTCTGACCAAGATCATGTGTCCTTGTTAGTCCTCCTCGATCTTAGTGCGGCATTTGACACAATAGACCACACTATCTTACTAGACAGACTAGAAAACCTTGTAGGGGTAACAGGAACAGCTCTTTCCTGGTTCCGGTCCTACCTCACTGATCGGTATCAGTTTGTTAATATAAACGGTGAATCATCTGTTCTCACAAAAGTAAAATATGGTGTTCCACAAGGCTCTGTTTTAGGACCTGTATTATTCACTTTATATATGCTACCACTGGGCACCATTATCAGTAGACACGGCATAAACTTCCACTGCTATGCCGATGACACTCAGTTATATTTAGCAAGCGACCCAGATGATAGAATTAAACTTAGCAAGATTGAAGACTGTATACAAGACATAAAGGACTGGATGTCGAGTAACTTTCTCCTTCTAAACTCAGATAAAACAGAGGTTCTGCTTCTTGGTCCAAAAGCAGCTAGAAACAAACTGT